AGACGAATTAAATCCACCTCAAATTCATCCTTCTAGTTTTCTGCAGCTAATTATTCTCCAATATATATGGTCCCCGGCTTACAACGGTTTGTTTAACGACCGTCGAAAGTTACTTTATGCCCGTTTTTCACACTTTCGACCAGTGGAGGTATTCAGCCTGTAAGGGCAAACTTATGCGAAGCCCACCTCTGCTTACGACCGTTGCAGCGTCCCCTTAAGTGACCCGACTTAGGACGCTTGGCAACCGACTCGTGTTTATGACGGTTGCAGTGTCCCCAGCTCACGCGATCCCCGTTTTCGACCTTCTGACGGGCAAAGTGAACGAGGAAGCCGGAATTCACTGAACAACCGTCTTGCTAACTGAACGGCAGCAACTGGCGTAACCCCTGCGGCAAAGGATGGTCGTAAAACGGGACGCAACGCCACTTGGGTATCTCGCCGAGCAGTGGTCGCAAGTCGAGGACTCGCTGTATTCAATATTTGGTGTCTTTTTGTGCGTATGTGTTTGTGTGTGTAGGTTTACCTGTTGTTGCTCGGCGCCAAAGCTCTCCGCCGATCCCAGGAACCCCTGCAGCTGTGGGGTCACGCTGTTTCGAAGAGCCCCTTCCGCCGTGGGGACCCCCAAAAAGGCTTCCACTGCTTCCTCCAGCCCTGGCACCATCTGCGTCTCCGGACCGGTGCCGGCGGCCGCCGCCAAAGACTGATGCAGCGTTGCCATCCAATAAAGTTCCTCCAAGGAGGATTTGGGATCGGCTACCTTGTCGAAGGTGGGCGAGGGGGGCACGGAGCTGCACGGGGTGGAAGTGACGGAGGAGCTGTTCCCCGGCCGGGCCACCTCCTGCTTCACTTCGAACTTCAGTAGGTCGAATTCGTCCAGGTAATCCAGAGCGATGGGACTGGCAGGCAAGATGCTCATTCTGCGAGAAGGAAAGGAGATAAGATTGGCGTCAGGTGACGTGCGTCCCACCTGGGGGCGGGGGGGGGAAGAGATCTGGATTAATGGATTAACTCTGGGGTGGGGGGGGGTGGAGAGAAGGCAAATAACCAACCGATATTCATAAAAGGGTGGCTCGGCGGCTAAGACGATCCGAAAGCTCGGCGGTTCGAATCCCGAGCGCCGCGTCACGGAGGGAGCTCCCGTGACTCCTCCCAGCTTCTGCCCACCTAGCCGTTCGAAAGCACGTCAAGAAAATGCGAGTGGAAAAAATAGGAACCACCTTTGGTGGGAAGGGAGCAGCGTTCCGTGCGCGAGTCACGCCGGCCACATGACCACAGAGACGTCTTCGGACAGCGCTGGCTCTTCGGTTTTGATCACGGAGAGGAGCACCGCTCCCTACAGTCGGGAACGACTAGCACAGATGTGCAAGGGGAACAGTGGTGGGTTTCAAAAAAAAATTGGAACCTCTTCTGTGGGTGTGGCCTGCTTTGTGGGAGTGGCTTTCTGGCCATGTGACCGGGTGGGAGTGGCATGGCGGCTAGGTGACTGGGTGGGCATAGCCAACTTGTAAAATGTGGTGAAACTCACTTAACAACGTTCTTGCTTAGCAACCAAAATGTTGGCTCAGAAACTCTGGCATTTGAAGCACGCAAGTCCTAAAGCTGTCAAGTTACCCTTGCACCCCTAACCCTTTAGAAAAAAACCCAGGGGTGTTCAAACATGACAGCTTTAAGACTTGCGTGCTTCAAATGCCAGAGTTTCTGAGCCAACATTTTGGTTGCTAAGCAAGAACGTTGTTAAGTGAGTTTCACCACATTTTACAAGTTGGCTATGCCCACCCAGTCCCCTAGCCGCCATGCCACTCCCACCCGGTCACATGGCCAGAAAGCCACTCCCACAAAGCAGGCCACACCCACAGAAGAGGTTCCAAAAATTTTTGAAACCCACCACTGTTCCCCTTGCACATCTGTACTAGTCGTTCCCGA